GTTATATCGGACATGTGGTCACTGCCGAGGAGAGGTTCTCGTCAGTACCTTCATCTCTTCTTTGTCCTGAGCCAGCATGCTGATGTATTGTTCCTTCTCCTGGTGCTTCTGCTTCATGATGGCCCTTTGGTTCTGGTACAGGGCAATGTACTCTCCTGAAAATCAAAGTGGCAACAACGTTTGGTGAGTTTCGCTTGTCGTGTCCCACGTTGGCGCCAGAACGCATCCTCCCCCCTCACCGATGGTGTCTGTCTCGCCGGAGAGCTGGATGCAACGGTGCTCCAACTCCTCCACGCGCTCCTTCAGGTCAGCCTTCTCCTGCATGAGTGAGGTGAAGCGCTCTTGGAGCTTCTCCATTGCCATCTGTAACGCCTGATGAACTTCCACCGGCACTCCTTCTCCTTCTGGGCACATTTTTACACGACTTAGCTTTATTCTATATAATACAGTATAATTTAATATCTAATTGTGTGTGAGTTTTTCACACACACAGAGAAAGAGGACCTTGAAAAAAAAAAAAACAATCACATAAAAGTTATTTGAAAAAAATCGTTCAGCTAGAGTGGGCAGGCATTCCAGAGACCCAACTGCTAGTGTTCGAGATTTAAAAAAAAAAAAAAAAAAAAAACAATCACACGATACAAATGCATCTTCTCTCACCTGAATGGTGACTGTGTTCACAATGACTGTGTTGGCCCTGAGTGTGTTCGTGTTCATGATGGTGATGGTGATCATGATGGTCATGGTCATGGTCATGCCCATGGTGGCTGTGCTGCTGCAGGCTGAGAGCTGCGGCCGCCCGGTGCTTTGCTGCTGCGTGGAGTCGCTGCTCCTCCCTCAGCTGCCTCTTTGCCTCGTCCCGCTCGGCCTCCAAACGAGCCAAAGCATCGTGAATGAACTCTTCCTGCGGAGGCGGTGAAAATCAGTCGCAAAGTCAAATACAAGACAACGTTGCACTAAGATTCACCATAAATGGAGCTTATACATGGCAAGGCATTTCACATTTCTGAACATCACTGACATAAAACGTGTGATAACCTGAGGATGTGCAATACTATAGGGATCAAAAGTTTGGTGGTTGTGAAACAATGTTCTCACCATTTCTTTTTGGCTCTCAAAGTCTTGCGGGACGATGATGGCGGATGACTCTGGAATGGTTTCTTGAGGCAACTTGCTCTCCACTCCATCTCCTGAACAAAATGATCCATCAACGATGACAATAAACCTTTTATAAAAGGTACTACTCATGACATACACAGTACTACATGTGGAAAAAGTACTTCCTCCCCTAAACCTATTAACAGGTTAGGCCCTCCTCAGCAGCAACAACTGAAATCAAGCCTTTTCTACAGTTGGCCATGTGTCCTTCACATATGATATTTTGGCCCACTCTTCCTTGCAGAAGAGCGGATTAAACTTTTGCTATTAATACAACACCAGGAGGGCATTTTGACAATGACAAGTAAGACACAAACCTTCATCTCTGGGCGCCATGGCTAGAGCCGAACTGTTGAGCAGCTCCCTCACCTCAGCCTTCAAATGCTCGTTATCTTGCACCAAATGATCCAAATGCTCCTGAGTGGGGAAACAAGGGCAGTCATGTCATAGCTTCATGAGAGAACAAGTGGGAGGTGCACGCTTACATACCTGCGCTCGCTTCAGTTCGTTCTGGCTGACTTCCAGCTGAGCGCGGCCCTGGGACTCATCATGTTGCAGCCGGTCCATGAGCTGGCTCTGCGTGAAATACTGCCGGTGGAGCTGCTCTCTCTCGGAGGCCAGTGCCTGGTAGGCGGCGCTGTACTGCTGCAGATGGGCCGCCACCTGGTCTCTCTGCTCGACCAGACCTTGAGCTTCCTTGTATTTCTCTTCCAGCTGGTGGTGAGGTAAAGGTGAAATTAGCACAACCGTCTGTGATGAATGTTTGGGATTACAAAACGAAAACAACATCGAAGAGTGCTTCCCAGCCACTGCGCCGCAGCACATTATAATGAAATGAAAGGTCATCAGATTATCCAACCATCCAATTTCAATTGTACCATGAATACTTTTTGTACACGTAGTTTTGGTTTTGTGCCATGAAATTTTTCTGACGTGATCTGTGACCTTGCATCAATAAAGGTTGGGAAACACTGACGTCAAAGACCGAACCTGCTCTTTCACATTGTGCAGTTGCTCTTGAAGCTCGCCCATTCTGCGCGCCAGCTCCTTCTTAACATGCTGCTCTGACTGAATGGCGGAGGTCAGCTCCATGTTCTCATTTGTCTGCAAAACATCAGAAAATATATTTCAAGATTAAAATGTAGCAATCTCTCAGCTTCAAAGCTAAGCCTTTGCTTCCCACTTCAACACTAAAATGAAAATGAAAATTAAGTTGAGGGTGTAAGACACCTTTCTCCCAAAGTCAGCTGGGATATATTTAAGCTCAACCACAGCGACAAATTCAGTTTCAGCACTTGTGGTCATCATAAGGACCACTGCTTTAGAAAACGGATGATTAAAATAAATAAATAAAAATGCAATAAGAATCACCAGTTGAACAAAGCCGTTCTGCAACTCAGCAAGCTGGTCCTTCAACGTTCGGTTCTGCGTGAGAGCGCGGCTGATGGTTGCCTTGTCTGACTGAACGTCTTCGAGCATGCGGCGACGGTCGTCGGCCTCCTGGGCTTGGCTCTCCGCCTGCTGCTCCAGATCTGACAGGCGCGCCTCTTGCTCGGAGCACAGGCGACTCAGCTGCTCATTGTCGCGCAGCTATAAGGAAAAATTGTCGCCTTAAAGACGCTTTGAAACATTTCGGGAAGACAACTGCAACGCATTGATGCACACCTGCGACTGGTACTGTTCATTGAGAGAGTCCTTTTCCAGTTGCAGACTGTTGAGTGATTCCCGTAGAGCCATTTCACTCTCTGAAGGCCCTGAGGACTGAGGTTCTCCCATACTCTGGTCTTCTCTCTCTCGGGACAGTAATGCTGCAAGAGACAGAGAAGAAATAGATTAAGGCGTGTACAGAAGAACAGGTTTTTGACTAGAATGCTATACAAGGGGTCTTTGGTTTACAATGGTCCTAACACACAATATTTTCAGAGGTGGACATCGTCAGTCCGGTGAGTCTGTCAGTGAGCTGCCGTCAATATTTCAGGCCGGCCCAGTCAGTCAGTCGTCTGCGACAGCCAAATGGTGTCAGGAACGGACTTACCGGTACTATGTCACACACAGGGGCCGCACACCTGACACACATGCAAATAAAGAAAAATAAAACAGTGTTGTGTACCTTTCAGTCCCACAGACCTAAATGACATGTGTCCCATTTTGTTTTTACTTCACCAATCAGTCTGGTGCTTTAATTTATTATCTTGATTTGACTGTGTGTCAGTTTGTGCGGTGCCTGTGTGTGACGTGGAAGTTACGTTCGAGATGCTGATTGGCTGTCTCCTACGAGGGACGGAGTGGGCCCATGTGGGTCGGCCTGAAATACTGACGGAAACCGTGACGGACTTATAGACCTTCCATCAGTCTGACGGGATGCCCACCTCTGGCGTTTTTCATACTTTATATTAGCTGCAATTGACTTGACTACTGCGTTAGCATAGTCAAGTCATAAATTACGCCACGTACCAAATTCGAGTTATGACGACGCAATAAAACTGCAGTGAACCAAGGATCAACTGTCGTAACAAGGTTACAATAAACACTTTAGCTTACCTGCTGCATTTCTGAGCTCTGTGATTGTGGCTTCAAGTTCTTGGACTCGTTCGATATTTCTGTCCCTCTCTTCGGCGACAAGTGACACCTTGGAGGTGGAGGCGCACACATTAAGATACACACAGGCATTTTTACAGGCAACCCCGTATATTCACAGTTCGGCATTCACATATACAGTATCATCCCTTATTACCGGTAATTAAAAATAAAAACCTCATGTTTGCTGAATTAAGACACCTAGGTACTGTTTTCAAATGATGAAAAACAAAAATAAGGTATATGATGAAAAACAAAAATAAGGTATACATTAGGACTCCTCTAAATCTCAGCGTAGTTTACTTGTGTTAGCAGCTGCTCTGTTTTGTCCTTCCAAACGCGGCCGCCCTCCTGGATCTGTTCCGCATAGCAGTCCCTCTCCGTCTTCAGCTGGGCAACAGATTCCATCAGCTACAGCATGAACAACAACGGTGCGTTAAAAGTAAAACTTGTTGGGAAGGGAAAGCAGCAATTTCTATAAAAGGTGTCCACACAATAGACAGAAAAAAAAAAAGTTTGCAGACCGAACCTGGTGATTGTGCACTTCCACCTGCTGCTTTTCTTCCAGCAGTAACTGGATCTGCTGGTTGGCACTGCTGGGATCCGACTGGGTGGAGCACTGGGCAAACAAAGCAATGGAGATGAAACAAAATTCCAATCTATGACCAGGGTGACATGCATCGACGGAAATGGAAAAAATTGTCGCCTTAAAGACGCTTTGAAACATTTCGGGAAGACAACTGCAACGCATTGATGCACACCTGCGACTGGTACTGTTCATTGAGAGAGTCCTTTTCCAGTTGCAGACTGTTGAGTGATTCCCGTAGAGCCATTTCACTCTCTGAAGGCCCTGAGGACTGAGGTTCTCCCATACTCTGGTCTTCTCTCTCTCGGGACAGTAATGCTGCAAGAGACAGAGAAGAAATAGATTAAGGCGTGTACAGAAGAACAGGTTTTTGACTAGAATGCTATACAAGGGGTCTTTGGTTTACAATGGTCCTAACACACAATATTTTCAGAGGTGGACATCGTCAGTCCGGTGAGTCTGTCAGTGAGCTGCCGTCAATATTTCAGGCCGGCCCAGTCAGTCAGTCGTCTGCGACAGCCAAATGGTGTCAGGAACGGACTTACCGGTACTATGTCACACACAGGGGCCGCACACCTGACACACATGCAAATAAAGAAAAATAAAACAGTGTTGTGTACCTTTCAGTCCCACAGACCTAAATGACATGTGTCCCATTTTGTTTTTACTTCACCAATCAGTCTGGTGCTTTAATTTATTATCTTGATTTGACTGTGTGTCAGTTTGTGCGGTGCCTGTGTGTGACGTGGAAGTTACGTTCGAGATGCTGATTGGCTGTCTCCTACGAGGGACGGAGTGGGCCCATGTGGGTCGGCCTGAAATACTGACGGAAACCGTGACGGACTTATAGACCTTCCATCAGTCTGACGGGATGCCCACCTCTGGCGTTTTTCATACTTTATATTAGCTGCAATTGACTTGACTACTGCGTTAGCATAGTCAAGTCATAAATTACGCCACGTACCAAATTCGAGTTATGACGACGCAATAAAACTGCAGTGAACCAAGGATCAACTGTCGTAACAAGGTTACAATAAACACTTTAGCTTACCTGCTGCATTTCTGAGCTCTGTGATTGTGGCTTCAAGTTCTTGGACTCGTTCGATATTTCTGTCCCTCTCTTCGGCGACAAGTGACACCTTGGAGGTGGAGGCGCACACATTAAGATACACACAGGCATTTTTACAGGCAACCCCGTATATTCACAGTTCGGCATTCACATATACAGTATCATCCCTTATTACCGGTAATTAAAAATAAAAACCTCATGTTTGCTGAATTAAGACACCTAGGTACTGTTTTCAAATGATGAAAAACAAAAATAAGGTATATGATGAAAAACAAAAATAAGGTATACATTAGGACTCCTCTAAATCTCAGCGTAGTTTACTTGTGTTAGCAGCTGCTCTGTTTTGTCCTTCCAAACGCGGCCGCCCTCCTGGATCTGTTCCGCATAGCAGTCCCTCTCCGTCTTCAGCTGGGCAACAGATTCCATCAGCTACAGCATGAACAACAACGGTGCGTTAAAAGTAAAACTTGTTGGGAAGGGAAAGCAGCAATTTCTATAAAAGGTGTCCACACAATAGACAGAAAAAAAAAAAGTTTGCAGACCGAACCTGGTGATTGTGCACTTCCACCTGCTGCTTTTCTTCCAGCAGTAACTGGATCTGCTGGTTGGCACTGCTGGGATCCGACTGGGTGGAGCACTGGGCAAACAAAGCAATGGAGATGAAACAAAATTCCAATCTATGACCAGGGTGACATGCATCGACGGAAATGGACCTGCTGCAACATGAGGTCGGCGATCTCGAGCCTCTTGCGGAGATCCTCCACCTCCAACCGCAATGCACCAGTCTCTTGCGCTCTCTGCCTGAGCTGCTCTGACAGCTCCGAACTCTGCTGTTTGGACTCGTCGCTCAAATTGCTGCGAACAAACACAAAAAAACAAAGATTGCGTGAGGCTTTTAATTCCCATGATGATCTTTTATGGTGAATGGACAATAAAAAAAAAAATAATAATCTAAGGGGGAAAAAAAACCCCAATGTGACTAACTTTTGCCCAAAAAACTCACTTACTTTTGTCTAAATATCTCGAGCCTCAGGGCGTCTCTCTCTTTTTCTAACTCTTTGTTGTGCTGCAGACAAATAGTCACAGAAGCAAAGAATTCCATTTGTCTGATCCACAAACATTTCTTGAACCTTCTGTGCGTTGACTACTTTTTCAAACTGTTTCTGTTGCGTGGACACGGATGACAGCGTTCTCTCCAACTCTGACACTCTCTGCTTTGTTGACTGCAATCGGCTCGTCAGCTCCTCTGCTTCTCCTGAACATACAATAAAATTGAAAGGAAAAGGACTTGATACTAGGGATCGTTTGCCATGGTCAAACATCATCAAAACACACCCACCTGCTTTCTGTCTGGCGGCCTGCTGTGTGTACTGTAGTGCGGTTTGTAGCTCAGATTTCTCCGAGACCAGGATGCCAATCGTTTGAATGTGAACCTTGCGAGATCAAACATACAGTGCAGCATTTTGTCAGATTCACCTGAATTCAATGCAATGACTATTTACATGCTACTTCATGTTTAACTCGCATGTCAAGAACATAAGAATATACCTGTAATTGCTCCCGCATGGCTCCCTGCTCTTTGGAAAACTTTTGCTCAAATTCCTTTCGCTCCTGAATGAACAGAAATGCAAACATCACGGGAGTGAAGATGAAAGTGGGAGGGTGGGGGGGTGTTAAAAATACCTTCTGCAGCTGATCTGTGAGCTCCTGAGATTGTAGTGCCTGAGAAAGCAAAGAACACAATCATCATCATGGCAGCGTGACACAATTCCAGCCTTACATTGTAACCTAAACGATTAAGTTCATGTCACAACATCAACTATTTGTGGTCATTTTTGATGTGCTAAACCTGTTTAAGATGTTTCCTTCTCGCTCTACACAGACAGCTTAGTGTTTGCAGAAATGCATTCAGCGGGGGAGGGGGGGGATTGCATGACTTGCATGCATGGGGAACCATTTTAGTGACACTTAAGGTGGCGTGCAATAAAGGTGACATGCAATACATTTCGTGCACTGTGGCATTCAAAGACTCACACAAACAGCTTCTTACCAGCTGGTCAAGCTTGGTATTGAGCTGAGAGTTTGTTAAGTTGCTGGACTCCAGGGCAGCAGACAGCTCCTGGTTCCGACTCTACCGTGTGCACATGCATCCGGGATGGCGCGGCGAGGGAATGGAAGAGAACGGTAACGCATTTGTAGCAAGACAAATAAAAAGAATACGACAAGGAAGGACACACATTTGTAAATGATTAACACGAGGGCAAACTGTAGCATCTTTGTGTGTGGTGCCAAAAATTAAAAAAAAAATTAAAAACGTGACTAGTGGAGTGTGTCAAAAAGTATGAGCATTCCATCATACGTCCAATTCTCTCTCGCCAATGGACGGCATACTGTCGCCATTCACGTATGCAGCAGATGACTGAAATCACAAAAATGAATAAACCTAATTTAAAAAAAACAGATCCAGTCATGAGTTCAATTTGTATCCATCAGAGGTTGCAGCAACATACTTCAGAGACCAGGCCGTTCAGTTGCTGAGAGAGCTGTCGCAGGCTCTCCGTGGATGACAGCTGTCTGCGGGACAACATATATATAAATACAGTACAGACATACATTAGAGAAAAAAAATAGCACTTTTGTGTTCTCCTGCATGTCCTGTTCCAAGTGCTATGTCCTCAACTTTATGAAACTACTGCGTTGGCAAACTCTTGAGTGTGGCATTTCCTTTTTGCTGTCTCAGTCGGTGCATGTACCACTGTAGGTTGAGTGAAATAAGCCAATTTACCTATTCTCCTCTGTTAAATTCTCATTGCCATTGGTGTCAGGGTAGTCCTGCAGAAAGACAAAAAAAAGTGAGAATGGGAGACAAAGAGCAATGGAACGCACAAATGTAAAGTAATAAATCAGCGTACTGCAAGTAAATCAATTCCCCCCCCCAAAAAAATCCAGTTTCATATTGTAGATACTGTGGAATGACAGTGAAGTACGAGGTCGCACGGCAGAGGACAAGCTAGGAATCGAGTTGGAGTGAAACACACCTGCAGCATGTCAGTGTGGTATCCGACACTCTGAAGGTTAGTAGTGGTGTTAGTAGTAGTAGCGTTTGACAGGGGTGAGCCCCCGTCGAGCTCAGTCGTTGGAGGGGGACCCGAGGACATGTTGGTCTCCATGTTGGCTACAGTCTGAAGTGGCGTGCACACAAAAGAATATATATACACACACACAAACACACACGTGTTAGGCTAGAACAAAAAAAGCAACAGAGAAGCATTTGTGGGCGGTTATGTGCACTGACAACACGCTATTCATACAATGAAAGACAGCGAGACATCAAGCAGTTTACCAGCCAATTCATTTGAGACAAGCTTGCTTTGTGGAGCCTGTTCAAAACACTGTCATGCTATGCGCTCCACAGATCCCAACTGTATAACTTCTGTTTAGCACATTATATGACGTTCTCAGCAAACAGTGGTAGGAGGAGAACAAAAAATACACATCAAATGCACCATTTTCTCAAGACCTCAAGCTGGGCACGTGCTTTCTGCACCATGTGACAAACTTAAGAGCCCTTCATTAGAGGAGTCGGTCAGAATGGGCATGAGAGCACTTCAATGATTTAAAAAAAATAAAATAAAAATACATGAAGAGGAGGAGGACACACAGGTTAGAGAAGCATAAAAAGTAGAGCAGAGACAAGGACAGAGCGAGCTCACCTGACTTTTGCCATATGGAGGCAGGACTACTCCATTGCTTTGACTAAGCACTTTGAGAATATTGTCATACTACGTACACGACGGAGCCATGGAAGGAAAGAGAGGAAATCTTTAGACGAGAATGATAAACAACAGCACAGAAGGCAGACATATTTAGAATTGCCCACAGGAAGTGGCCTGTGAAAAAGGGTAGAACAAATTAAGTCGCTTACCTATCAAACGGTTACGAAATAAAATGTTTGGGACTACAACTACAAAGTCTTGAAGGAATATAATAAGAATAACAGCTTTTATGAGGGAGATTTTCCTCCATAAACTTTGTATGTGGGGTATTCGACTTAAGGGCATTCAGTTAACTGCATTTTTGCAGTGTGACCTGACCAGAGGAAGCTGAATATCGAGTTCAAAACAAGTCGAAAGCAGCTGAAGCAGAAGATGAGATGAGGCTTGACCAAGCTTACATTGTCTGGGGAGTTTCTGTCAATCGAGGTCGCATCGTACTGGTTGGGTCCTTTCACTTTCCTCTTCTTCTTGGCCACTGCACCGCCAAAAACTCCTCCAGCTCCTCCTTTGTCTCCTCCAACACTGGTTGGAGTGCTTTTCTGCTGAAACTCCTTGAGCTGAGTCCCCCCACACCCCCCAAAAAAACAAAAACAAAAACAACAAAAAAGATATGTGAGTGTAAACAATTTCAAAACACAACTACAACGTAAGGCGCAACAAAAAAAAACTGTGAGACTGTCTCAAGGACTCATTTTGTTCAGACTCCATCTGTTTAATGTTTTGCCATGAAGGTGACTGGAAGGAAATTATCCCTCTCTAAAGTCAATATTTGATAAAACGCAAGTCAACATGACTAACAGAATATTAGAGAATCCTTCTCAAGATTTTTTTCTCAGAGCAATCTAGCACACGTTATGGAGCGAGCATCTCCATAAGTGTGCGCTACAAGTTGTCGTTCCTTCAGAACATCTAAACAAACAACCTGAGAAAACTTTGGATACTTGTTGAATTGTTTAAAACTTCATTTTACTCTGGAGAACTGTTTGATAATCGTGTCTAGTTCATATTTGCTGGATTGATTCTCTGTTCTTACAACTGCCACGGTTTTATTCCGAGGAATCCTTCAACGTTATGCTGTCACGATCGTTATGTCATCGTGCCTGCGGTTTCTGTTGTCTTTCAATGTTTGTAGTCGTCCTTAGTTGTGATTGAAAAAAATTAAGTGCTGCAATGTTATAGAGTCCAAAACAAATTTCCCTCTGAGATAATGCAGTTCATTCTATCCTCCGATAACATTGGAAGCTCTAGGTTAGAGGTATGCGAGCAAGAATGCACCCAACCCAGTCTCAAACAATGTTCATCCTACTCTTTAGGTTTAAAGTTTCAAATGAAGCTAGGCACAAGTAATTCTCAACCAAAAAGCTAGTCTGTAAGTCTGTCTTCGTTTTTGTCTGTGTGCATGTTAACTCGAAGCCCAACATAATAGAATTGTCAATGCGAGCACTTTTCCTTGCCTTGACTTTTGTCATAATGGGTCCACAGCAGCAGAGGACCATTGAAAATTCTGTGAAATTCTTCCTTCAAAAAGGGACATTTTAAAATACTGACTCTAGGGGCGAAATATCCCATCGGACATTTCTTTAATATTCAGAATAGCTCTTTTGGACAACTGTTGGCAAAGTAACTTCCTAAAACGTCACGTCGCACTTTTTAAAGGCCATATTCTAACGAGCAAACATGCCAACGCCAAACACACACCCCGGGACAGGGAAGAGGGCTGTCAGCTGTCAAAACACCCGACTTACTGGAACTTACGACCAGCTCAATAACAAAAGACGGTCCAAAAAACAAAACAGTGACACGGTTCCACACGTACTCCGTTCCTTATTCAATAGTTAGCCTTTTGGCTAATGTTTTATTAGCCAAGTTAGCACGTTCCACTTCGACGGAATACACATTTTAGTTTGTCAGCTAAAAAGCAACTCGAACGCACTCAAGAAAGAAATCGCTGTCTATTCGGGTGTTGTCGCGTGGTAAAGAATGTCAATTGGAGATAAAAACGACGACCAGAATTAGAAAAAGTTGATGTTAGAAATTAAAGGCCTCGATACAGCCCCAGACTTTCCTGAGCATCGATGCATGAGACAACCGACAGAGGCCGGACAAACGTCGGCTGTAGAGGTCGCAAGACGTGTAATGACACTACCATTGCCACGGTAATACAATTGTGACAAACCAGCATGGAGCGTGGGAAAACAAAAGCCACTTGAATAATAATTCACCGGATGAAAATGCATTTAATTTTACCTTTTTCTTGGCTGCGGCGAGTTTTGTTTGCCTGCTCTGGTCGGCCATCCTGCTGCTGCCGTGGTGGTGATCAACGGCCCGGTGGAACCACGTCATCAATTTGCTGTCTGATGCATAAGATCCAAGGCTCTAGGGGGCGCACTTAACTTTGTTTATTTATTTAAAAAAAAAGAACAAGAACAAGAACAAGAAAAAAAAACCGCAAGCACTAGGAAGCCAGGCAAAAGCACACACGACAAATCTCGAGCTGAGATTCGAAACCATAAGATCAGAACTACGAGGCGGACAAGCTAATCACCACGCTTTCTTGACAAATTACATCATTATTAACATTTTCTGTACAGTATTAATGCATGTTGTGTTGTCATGTAATAGTGGGCCTGCTGCAGAGTAAGCGCTGCCACTACTGCTTAGGAGATAGCGCCAGTTCTAACCAGAGCTTTGCAGACCATCTTTCAGTTTTTCTCAGTCACTTTGATACATTTCTCACTTCAGAATTGAAATTCCCACAGTAAGTGCATTTCTCAAAAGAATTGGTACAAATAGTTAAACACAGCTCCCCTTAAAAATCCTTAGTACATCATTCAAAACTAAATAAATGTGTCACTAAACATGGCAGTGCCATCAAAATGTCGAGTTTATCATATTGTAAATTATGTTTTGCTATTACAGGGATGCATTATTAGGACAATAAATTTATTTCGAGGCTGGATTAAAACACTTACTGATACATTTAATTCAGTGCACATCATCTTTGTAGCTTTTGTCACATCACTTGAACTACCTGTATGTAAAGGGTGAAGGCATAATATCAATACTGTATTGTCATATTGTCATCATAAAGGATGGACGTACATTGGCAGCCATTACCCAGCTACAGTATGACCTAATTTTACTTGTCATAAACCATTATCAGCGCTGTTTTGTTTGGCATGTCCCGTTGTCCATTCACATTTTTATTTTTTTATTTAATTAATGAATGAATTAAAGTTTAGTTATGCAGTGCTGTATTCCTGATGTAACTACCCAACAATACAAATTATCTGATGCAACAAAATGCAGTGACAAATAATCCACAGTAATTTGACTGTTCAAATTGAACGGATGACACATTAGTCACTGACGTGAGTCAACTTTGATTGATCCAGGAGAGATATCTATTACAACGCATGTGCAACGTTTTTTAGCGTAAAATAAATAAATAAAGAAATACACCCACCCTAGCCAGTTGTCATGAGTGGCGTGTAACTGTACGAACCACGTTCCCAGTCCAGCCAATCAGCGTCGATTGAGACACGTCGTCACAAAACCATGTTGCGTGCAAATCATCGAAGGCCAGCGTACCAAAAGGAACCAATCGGCACATTCCAACGCGCAGCCTCTCCTCCAATCGCTGGCCTCCACGACTGGGAAGTGGTGACGGATTATATAGGGGCAGCGCTCAATTCATTCTATATCAAATCTCCCAGACAAGAATACTGACAGAATCGAAACTAGCGACGAGTGAATTCTATTGTCTACGTTCCAAGTTAACGCACAATCCGACGATTAAGGTATGTCCGACTTTTTCTTGAACATGTTTCAGAAACTGTCTTAGTCTAATTTACGTAAGATATGTAAAGACAACATTACACGTGTACTGTGATGTCCTAAAGATCTCTTCTGCCGCGTTACATTTCGGCGAGCAGCTGTTTTAATCCATTTTTGACATCTTAAAACATAACAATGTCGTAACTGACTGAAATTTTTGCTCTTTTAAGTCTACCGGTCAAGCTAATTCTGTTAGCTAGCTAGCTAGCTGCCGGCCTTGGGAAAATAATGTAAAAAATTCGAATGAGTGGTCATTGAAACGAAAATGTTTTGAGCCACATCAAATTGACATTACGGGAACGTTTAAAATCGGAATATTTCCCTCTAGCCGAACAGTCTCCCATTTCGTGCGGCTAACGGCAAACGTACTTGAACAAGTTGGCAGACAGTGGCCTACGCAATTAACAAAGGCAATCGTTTTTTTTTCCCCTTCAGATATACTCATTTTCTCCAGGGACTTGAGCAATCGACTAAACAAAATGAAGTTTGTGTGGCTGTTAGTGGCGCTGGCCTGCGCCGTGTCTGCTGATGATGACGACAAAAGGGAGAATGTGGGCACTGTCATTGGCATCGACCTGGGGACCACTTACTCTTGGTAAGGCGCGTGCTTTTAAAGTGAATGATTAATCAATCTACTAGTTCTAATATTGTAATCTTCCCACCCCTTTCAGCGTCGGGGTCTTCAAGAATGGCCGTGTCGATATCATTGCCAACGACCAGGGCAACCGCATCACTCCATCCTATGTGGCGTTCACCAGTGAGGGTGAGCGTCTGATCGGTGATGCCGCCAAGAACCAGCTGACCTCCAACCCAGAGAACACGGTGTTTGATGCCAAGAGGTTGATTGGTCGCACATGGGCCGACTCTTCTGTCCAGCAAGACATCAAGTACCTGCCTTTCAAGGTATTGTGAAAGGGATACACAAATATCACTGACGATGATGAATTAAGATATCAGTGCATGTGGAAGGAGGGGGAGGAAAAAGAAAGATCCAATCTTATTGCATAATTAATACATGTTAAGAAGAAATGCAATAATTACTACCATAAAATATAGACGTAAGAGACCGATGGATAGATGCATTACAATATCAATTTAGCAAAACAATTGGTAACATTTATAATAATCACAATATTGATCTTTGCTGCTATGTATGTATATATATCTATCATAAGAATGAAAAGATCAATAGTTGCTGTTGGTATTGCAGTACTATGTGATACGGTACACATTTACCAACAAGTATTTTTATGGTCTTCTTCAGGTGAATGACAAGAAGAGCAAGCCTCACATCCAAGTTGACATTGGCGGTGGTCAGATGAAGACATTCGCCCCAGAGGAGATCTCTGCTATGGTTCTGACCAAGATGAAGGAGACCGCCGAGGCTTATTTGGGCAAGAAGGTATGAAAAAAATGACACCTGCGAATTGCAGCCCTTTGCTCATATGTGAGACAATTTTGTAATGAAAGCTCTCGTATCTCAGGTCACTCACGCTGTGGTCACTGTTCCGGCCTACTTCAATGACGCCCAGCGCCAAGCCACTAAAGATGCCGGCACCATTGCTGGGCTCAATGTGATGAGGATCATCAATGAGCCGTAAGTGTTTAGATGACAAATTATCGACTCGCCCTTTTTGTTTTTCCTGTCCTGAAGTCTGGCGTCCTTCCCGCAGAACTGCTGCTGCCATCGCTTATGGCCTGGACAAGAAGGATGGTGAAAAGAACATCTTGGTGTTCGACCTGGGCGGCGGCACCTTCGACGTCTCACTGCTGACCATCGACAATGGTGTGTTCGAGGTGGTGGCCACCAACGGTGACACCCACCTGGGAGGGGAGGACTTCGACCAGCGTGTCATGGAGCACTTCATCAAGCTGTACAAGAAGAAGACTGGCAAGGACGTGCGCAAGGACAACCGTGCCGTGCAGAAGCTGCGTCGTGAGGTGGAGAAGGCCAAGCGGGCACTGTCTGCCCAGCACCAGACCCGCATTGAGATCGAATCCTTCTTTGAGGGCGAGGATTTCTCAGAGACCTTGACCCGTGCCAAGTTTGAGGAGCTCAACATGGTAAGTTGCCTTAACCTGTTTAGGAGGGATTGTGATCTGACAACCTTTAATAAATTGATTCTGTGTTGTCCAGGATCTGTTCCGGTCCACGATGAAGCCCGTGCAAAAGGTGCTGGAAGACTCTGACCTGAAGAAGTCCGACATTGACGAGATCGTCCTGGTTGGCGGCTCCACACGTATCCCCAAAATCCAGCAGCTGGTGAAGGAGTTCTTTAACGGCAAAGAGCCCTCCAGAGGAATCAACCCCGACGAGGCCGTCGCCTATGGCGCTGCCGTACAGGCTGGCGTGCTTTCCGGAGAGGAGGATACCGGTAAGCTTTTGTCGCCCTGATGTATTGGACCGTGTTTACAAACGTGGGCCTTTTTATTAAAATAACACAATTTGTCCCTCTTTTCCTTCAGGTGATGTGGTTCTATTGGATGTATGCCCTCTTACTCTTGGCATTGAGACTGTGGGAGGAGTCATGACCAAGCTGATCCCCAGGAACACCGTGGTGCCCACCAAAAAGTCTCAAATCTTCTCCACTGCCTCGGACAACCAGCCTACAGTCACCATCAAGGTCTATGAAGGTAAGAGTCGCAGTCACAGGATGCTTTTGCACAGGGATTCTGTAAAATTACTTGGAGACAAATAGGCGTTGACCTACAGTTAAGGCATGTTTGGCCGGGGCGGTGGGAAATCCAGTTTAGCAACATGATCTCAATCATACTGATCTACTGTTTAAGGTGAGCGTCCCCTGACGAAGGACAACCACCTGCTGGGCACCTTTGACCTGACGGGCATCCCCCCCGCACCACGCGGCGTGCCACAGATTGAGGTCACTTTCGAGATCGACGTCAACGGCATCCTTCGTGTCACGGCGGAGGACAAAGGCACGGGCAACAAGAACAAGATCACCATCACCAACGACCAGAACCGTCTGACGCCCGAGGACATCGAGCGCATGGTGAACGATGCCGAGCGCTTTGCCGACGAGGACAAGAAGCTGAAGGAGCGTATTGACGCCCGCAACGAGCTGGAGAGCTACGCCTACTCGCTGAAGAACCAGATCGGCGACAAGGAGAAGCTTGGCGGAAAGCTGTCCGATGAAGACAAGGAGGCCATCGAGAAGGCCGTAGAAGAGAAGATTGAGTGGATGGAGTCGCACCAGGAGGCCGATCTGGAAGAATTCCAGGCCAAGAAGAAAGAGCTGGAAGAGGTGGTGCAGCCCATCATCAGCAAGCTCTATGGCAGTGCGGGTGCCCCGCCACCAGAGGGTGCTGAAGAAAAGGATGAGTTGTAAGCTGATCTAGTCACTCAGTCACCTCCTTTAAAAAGAAAAAAAACAAAACACCTTGATGTACATATTGGACTGATGGGACTCATTGTGAGAGGGAGGGGCGGCCATACGGAATCTCCGAAAGACTTTGAAGCGAGTTTCAGCTCGTTTGGTGTTTCTCTTCGCCGGTGGGTGGAGATATGTCAGCCTGGATTCTCAAGGCTCACTGCTGCTGTTCTCAGGCAGTCCTGATGGGGATCACGTAGTACTAGTAGTCGTAGAGGGTGGGAGGGAGGGAGGGTTTGCTCTTCATGGGTAGGCTGCCTATTGGCTCCTCAATGCTAAAAGTTATTTATTGAATCTGGAAAGACAGTGAAATAAATGTTTGATACAAAATAAGTTGCTTCCACTTCTATTTTCTCTGCGATCAGTGTCTCATGATTATGATGGAGTTAATTGCATGATAGTTTTGTTTTTTTTCCCCAGTTGAAATACCCCCCCCCCCCCAGCATGATGCTGCCATTGCCACCATCATGCTTCACTGTAAATATTTTTGGGTTATGAGCAGTGATGTTTGTGTCAAAAATCATTTGGACCAAAAAGGTTCATTAGACTACAATACATCATCTATATTTATATAGCGCTTTCAAAGAGGAGAAAATCACACTTTCCACACCTAGACGAACAACCATTTGCGCTCAGTCACACCTAGGGACAATTTTGAATGTTCCATTAACCTGTCATGCATGTTTTTTGGAGTGTGGGAGAAAACCCACAGAGGCATGGGGAGAACATGCAAACTCCACATAGGAAGGCCGGAGCTGGAATCGAACACTGCACTGCACGGTGAGGCCGACGTGCTTACCAGTCGACCACTGTGCGCTCTAAAGTCGGTCCTTAACCAAAATATTGATAATTTAGATTTTACCTATGAACGAGCCGTTAATGCGAAGGCTAGCTGTTGGACCCTCAGAGTAAAATGTTACTTACTGAATATAGTCAATAATACTTCTGGAAAGACATTGAAATAAATGTTTGATACAAAGTCACTTGCTTTCATTTTTTTAATTTCTTGTATGGTCCATCAAGTCACCACAGTCACAACACAGTCGTTGTGTATGACACCTTGTGTGTCCATCCCACCGAATACAAAAGCCAAGTGTATCGTCTCGGCGTGTAGTGTCTTGGCTGGAGCGGATGTTGGCGCGGCTTCGGGATCCGTGGCAGCTGTTTGCACTTCACCGCCATCTCCCACAGCCTCCACCTTCCACGGTAGCAAACACATGCAGTGGTCCAGACGGTTCGGGGGCAAATCCCCCTCAAACTTCATTAGGGTCCAAGACTTCTTTTCTGCAAAAAGGCCACAGGTCTGGTCATAAAATATGCTCTGCCGTGTTTAAATAGCACATGATATTAAGGAATTGTACCTATGTTGAATGTGTACATGGCATTGGTGGCTCCGTCGGCAGTCAGCCCGCCAAGGATGTAAATATTGTTGCCCAACGCCATGGCCGAATGTGCTGCCACGCCAGGTGGAACGTCACCTTCGGGCTGCACCAACTCCCACGTCATATTACCTTTAAAATGCACACATGAATGATATCTGTGTCAGATTCACAATTTTATTCCGATGCAAAGCTCCCTCAGCTCAATTTTTTTCCCGATATAAATACATGAGGACAAGATAAATCCCACTTGACATCCTTACTTGGATCAAGAGAGTACATGTCATCCAAGAAATCGTCGTTCGCCATGCCGCCATGAATGTAGATCTTGGAGCTTGCCGCCACTATAACGTGTCCGTGTCTGACGGGCGGCTGTGGGCCTTGCGTTTCTGGCTGCGTCCAGGTGGAAGACACTGGGAAGACCACAGTAATGCTGACATAAAAACAACATCCATCCATCCATTCATTTTCGGAACCGCTTTATCCTCACAAGGGTCGCGGGGGGTGCTGGAGCCTATCCCAGCCGTCTTCGGGCAGTAGTTTTGGTGATTAATGTATGTGGAAATAAGTACATCCAACACTCACCAGTATCAAAGACGTGAAGTTTCTGGTCGGCGACAGGTGATGCTCCTGCTTCCCCACCAGAAAACACATATAATAAGCTACCTATGCAGGCTGAGTTGGTGTGATATGTCCTTGGACTGGGCGGCTCGCCCGTTACCATGACTTCCTCCCAGAGTGCTTTGCTTTCTGTGGATCACAACAGGAGGCATATTTACATCACACTATTAAAGATGAAGTCAGTCTTTTTTTTTTACCTGCTACTTTTATTTTTTGGATGCAGTTATGGTTGCCACTCTGCTCCGCACCCCCAAACACCCACAAGCTCTGCGGCGGGCTTCCGGGCACCAATGTGCAGTGCTCATATCGAGCCTTTAGACCCTCCCATGGCAACGCATCCCACTCAAGACACTCTAGGAGAGTCAGAGAGGATAATAATTGCAACAACAGTTCAAAAATAAAATAAAATGCAATGATAGATTTTCAAAAAGAAAAGTGCATTGAGGAATACAAAGGCAATTTGTGATTGGTGGGTGTGGAAAGGTGAATAAAAATGCTAAATCTAAAAAACAAAAATGTAAACACACACACACACACAAACAAAAAACTATGCAATTGTTTGGTGAAATAATGCCTATAATTTGTGCACATTTTTAGTCATAAATTAGAACAACTGCTCACTTGTTTGATTTGTTTGGGCAGGCAGGTTTGAGCAATTTGAACGGCTGCTTAATAAGTGTTATAATCTCCCTGCCCATTGCGTGTTCTTGCCCATGTATCGAGTTGAGTTAATCATCATTCTTTAAATGAGTGAATTGCAAAGGTCCGTACTCAGATTTATGGCGTGTGTATGCGAGAAGCTGCCACCAGGATTTGCTCCCCCAACGATAAGGATCCTTCCACTGCCACCATCCCCGGGCCAGTAGGTGCAGGTGTGTCCCACGCTCACACCCGGGGACCTTCCGCTCGGTGCCAAGGAATACCTGGGTTGAAGTTGCAATGTTGAAGAAAATAACAAGGTTGGCCATCTCTATGCATCGACTCTCACGTATGCTTACCATACTCCTTGTTTGGGCTTCTCTTGAGCTTCAAGCACCGGGAGAAGCTCCATGGCTGGCTGTGCATCAAACGGGAAAATCAAAAAGCTGTGCTGTGTTGGAAAGTCATGCTTCTTCTCACAGAGACTGACTCTAAAACGAGTAAATTATAACGAATCCAGCATGGCAGTTCCTGAAATTGAGACACGATTTAGCATCGCGTTGCTATGATCTTACAAAGTACTACTAGTTTTGAAATGTGAGAGATTGTACGCTTGTAGTCTTGGTGAACCAATCGTGTCGCTTCTGCTGGGCGCTCACACATTGTCGGTGTGAAGATTACCGTTCGTTAATGTGTATTATTGGTGAAATATTTTCGACTATGATTAAATTGATGTTTTAAAGTAATTTTTATTAAACAACAAATTATATTTCAGCGAGCAAGGCACTTTTACCGCTCGGCGGTACGTGGCTTCAGTAATTGTGCGGTTGCGACATCTTTCTCGTTGAACATATCTGACACTTCCTTTTTCCGCCTTGACACCGCTGGTGCGTTCAAGTTCCAGAGTGGTAAATCGGAACCCAAAAATTCTAAGCAAAACACGTAATAAACCCAAATAAAATGCACTTTACTCCCAACACACTCTACATGGTTGGTGTACGTGTCAAAGGTAAGTAGAAAATGGCGATACTTTGAAAAATATTGTTTACCTAACCTGTTGGAAAAAAATCCTTTTTTACCTGTCACTAATTCATATTTGATGTTGATCTGTTTTCTGTTAGTCGGGTGATAAAGGTTGACGACGTTGCAAGGCAGGTCTCGTGTAACATTACATTGCCGACTTGGGCCAATACAACCACGAGAATTTACTATTTGCGGAGGTCTTTCACTTATGTGACGTTTAACGATACGTACGTGAAGGGGATCGTGCCTTTAGACCACGCCCACGCCAAGGTTCACTTCCGACTTGCTGAAGTCTGATATATACATACATACATACATACATACTTGCATACATAGTTTGTTTCTCCAAATACCTTTAGTTAACAAAATATAAATAGTAAAAATACGTGTATGTAAGGTTGTGCGTAATGTTCATATTTCTGAAGTTACACGGATAAATAATTGAACACTAAGCTGTTTCTGAACAGTATTCCCGGTACAGTACGGTATTCGAATGCATATGGCACTTCTAATTTTGCTCGGTAGGTGGTGCGATTGTTTATACTTGTTTGAGGACCATCAATCACTTTGCTTCCTGTCCCAGTTTTGAGGATGATTTCTGTTATCCTGCAGACCCTTGACCCTACTATATTTGCAAGATCAGCACATGTTCTGCTCTTGCTCTATGTGTGTATTTTTGGGCCCACTGTGAGTAAACGGATCTTAACCTGTTTCCTTCTAAGGAAACACAGGATAATTCACCTTTTGTTTGCCCTTCATTCCAACTGATAAGGACCTGAATGACCATGGGGGATTTTTGTGCCGGAAAAAAAGGAAGATGATTATATTTTAACGATCCACAGGGAAGGGAAAGAAGAGATACATGCAGATATGAGTTTTGTCAGCAAAAAAATCATCCTTAGGTTGTTTTGAATTTGAAGGGAGTGGGTGGATTAGCGACATGGGAATAAATACATCAAGTTCATTTGTGGGTCACTTGTACACTGTCGCTGAGCGACATGTCAATGTAATACATGGCAGCTTTGTCTCTTGTGTCACATTTGAACCCGGAGGTGTGCTAAATCGTGCTCCGATTAATCTGGATTCTAGCAATGCAACCTAATCACCATTTCAGCTCCACGACAGACGCAAGCACACACACCTCACTCAATCTGCGTATTAAAAACATGTTTTTGTCTTTTAATCTGCGTTGTTTGCGCTGGGTTTTTATTTGTTTCTCATGGGGTTTTAAAAGGAGGCAGACGATGGAACTTATACAATTTAATTTGTTGTATATAAATAGGTGGGTCTTCAGACTGCCTGTCCATCTATTCCGTGTAAAATTTAATCTTTTATCTGCCTCTGTCCATCCATCCATCCATTTTTTACTGCCTATCCAGGGTCGGATTGTGGGAGCAGCAACTTAGGTGACATTTGAAACACACACACACACACACCCTGGCAGCCAGCATCAAATTTCTTGGGAGTCTCATTTGCGGAGGGATTCTCTCTGTGATGTCTTTCAAAGTTTACCTGCGCAAACCGCCCGCCACCTCTTCCAAAGCCCCGTCCTTCCTGCTGACGACTCACGGTGAGAACTCGTTTGTATGTTTTAGTTCATTTGATCTCAATCGTGCTGTAAGTTTACTTTGTCATTACAAAAAAATGTAATGGACGCTTATGAAAGCGTCGTCACAGGCCATTTACTGAGTACATCCTTCGGTGTGCTAATGAGGCGGTCCATTGCATCATTTATGAAGAGTATTATCCACACCTGCACTGTTGGCCCAAAGAGCAAAGCCTCATCCATTATCCAGTGTTTTTCTGTTGCCGCTAATCAATAATGATGGGGTCATTAAGGGTCCAGATCCGGAACCAACTGACCCAAGGATTCAACGGAAAGAAAATGTGTGGGGTTGCTTACATAAAAAAAAAAAAAAACTGAAGCAAAAATAGTGACTGACTTACAGTCCAGCTCCCTTTTTCTCCCTTTGAACTTGTCATCAAGTAATATGAATAATCAGCCTGCTTTGCCATTTCGCCATTTTGCTTGGCCGCTAACACTCTTTGAGGCAACTTCATAGCAGCCTTTTGTGTGGCGCGAGATGTATTAGGAAGACATTTGAAACGGCGTTCCCGCTTTGTTCTTCCACATCTCCACATGCCAAGCTCGCTGTGGGAACGACAAACATCCCCCATACCCACCGTGTGAGCGGGGGCCCGGGGTGGTGGCGTCGTTAGCGGTGTGTGCCCGCACTCTTCATAGTTGGATACATTTAGACGAGCGGCACAAAGCCAATGTTAGTACTGGGCCATGTCGACGTGGTCAACAAGGCTTTAAAAAGGTTGGTGACAGTACTGAGAGACCAGCAGAAGGAGGCTGAGACATGAAAACTGCCTGGGCGGACACGAGACGCGACAGATGATTAACATTCAAGCACACACATACACACACACACACACACACACAATATTGCAAGCAACATTCATTTATAGCTGGCAGTCTTCTCCCTGTCTTCTTCTTCTGCAGGTCAACTGAAACTGTCAATCATCCAGGAACAGGAAGTTCTTGCTGTAAGCGGTGAGTCCTGAGGAAAAAAACATATGTATGAATCAAAATTTGAAAAGCTTCACGGTGTCCATCCACCATTAAGTATCAGCAGAAACAAGTGTATACAAAAGTAAAACCAAGTCATAACTCTGCATTTTTGGCTGCTCGCTTAGCTGTACCTTTTGTTCAATGTGTTACTGTTACTGTTTACCACTTCTCCGATTCTGTTTAGTTCGATTTCCACCACGTCTGATGGAGTAAATTTGAGGTCAGGCCTGCCTCTGCGCGGCCCGGTCCCAAACGGGCCGAGGCCCGTTACTGATCCGCGGACCGGCGGTTGGGGACCACTGTCCTAGCAACCAAAGCAATGCACCCTCTTGTTTGCCTTCCCCTTTTCAAATGCCTTTACCAGCCGCTCACGGCCTCTGTATGGAGTCTAACTGGTGCAGCGTTAGTTTTGTTTGTTTCCCACATCATTTGCAACATGAATCAAATGACATACAGTACGCCTTCCATGACATTCTATTATATTTAATCTAGCTTGTCGGGGTGATTTTCGAGATATACTCTGCCCTCCATGTTACAGTTATTTTCTGCAATAGAAGACACGACCGCGACCATATTCTGTGTCAAACCGTGCTTGTCTGTTGAGATGCCATCTGTCAGAAAAGAAAGATCTGGTTAGATTTTGCATGTGTGCCTCATATTGTGGCCAATGCTTATGCAGTTCTGTTCAGTTTTTTTTTTTTTCCGAAATATTGATCACTGTCAGATATTTTAAAATGACATTCGGATATTTCTGTTGACAGTTTTGGAGGCACGGGGTATGTTGCACGAGCACCACGGGTCATGTGACTCCTATGTAGAGGTATGCTATGCATCTCTTGCTTTTGCTGTCATTGTTTTTGTAGCAATTTCGAAATGTAAAATGTAAATCAAGAATGCAGAATGAGGTCTCATCAGGAGTGGGGAAACTTCCGATAGGATCCACTTCACCAAGAATCCTAATGCGGGCAAGCTCTATAGAAAACAAAGGGGTTAATTTTATTTTGAGTGCTACTAGTGCTTTTTTTGGTCAGGTGGGCATGTTTCCAGACAGCGAACCCAGAGACCGGCAGAAGACGGCAACGGTCCTTCAGTGTAAAACTCCTGTCTTTCTACACACCTTTTACTTGTAAGCACACATACAGTGTACGACTCATTGCGCACAACTTTTGACCATGCTGACATGTCGCTTTTATTTTTTTATTATTATTTTTGTTGTTGTTATTACAGTGTGATACGTGACAAGGACCTTCACAAGCGACTGCTCTTCACAGTGTGGAACTCTAATAGCGCCTCCAGGTATCCGATGGCACTGCTCACCGCAGCAGCGAATTGCCCTCTTTGTTTCATAATTAGTGTTCGATCTCCCGATGTGCATGTGTTGCTTTGCGTGTCACTCTCGCCTCTCGCCTCAGCAGAATAAGACAGGGGGCGTTTGTATGTATGTATGTATGTATGTATGTATGTATGTATGTATGTATGTATGTATGTATGTATGTATGTATGTATGTATGTATGTATGTATGTATGTATGTATGTATGTATGTATGTATGTATGTATGTATGTATAATTTGCAAAATTATGTCATAAAATTCATGAGTTAAAGATGATATTCACCCAGTGAAGAATAATTTTGCCTGCCCTAACAAGAGGAGCATATTTCTGTTGAAAATCCTTTTTAGGACTTTTTTTTTCCCCCTGCTCGAATATTAGAAGGAAAACAGGGTGAATAGGCACAATTCCATTCATCCAAGGGTAATGTGTGTTGAATAGCCACATAAAATAAAACCATGAATCTATGTTGTTTTGTTGTATTTGGGCCCCCAAGTGCATGGCCAATCCTTCTTTTGATTGACCACAAAGGCACCAAGGTTGATGAAGTCTTCCAAAGAAAAGGACGGGATTCTTTTTTTTTATTTATTATCATAATCTGCATTTAATGTACCAGTGAAAGGCTTAAAAGCAGAGCAAAACCTCGTGTCCGCGAAAAGAACCCTTTTACGCAGACCACAGTGTGGTCTCCTCCATTGATCAATGCGTTGATGCGTTTTTGTTTGAGCAGGAGGAGTGCACTGCTGGGGTGCATGAGCTTCGGCGTCCGCTCCCTCACGCAACCGCACAAGGTGAGTTCACCGCGTCCATGTCAACGCCATATGGTGGCAGTGAACTCTACTTCACAATGAGTAGCAGTTTGGCAATAGGGAACAATTCTTCAAAAAGAGGCTTCAAGTTATTTGAGGCCACACCCAGTTGAGGTTTACAGTCAGAAAACAAGAATCAAATACAATGACACATCGTCTTTTTTTTTTCTCACAATTCAGCATTCAAGTTGGCAGGTTGGTTTGAGAAGCAACCGGTCAGAGCGAGTTCACCAAACTGTAGCTATAGCAGAAGCTAGCAAAGTGCTTTTGTGTGTGTTTTTTGAAACTCTCATGTCTTTCCCCATTCTCTCGTTGGATTTCTTTTTCCATTTCTGAACCTTTTGCCATTATTGGGGGGAAATATCATAGAATAGTGTAAATCCCTCCCTGGCTCTCTGAGCATACTGTACCATCCTCCCCTCCCCCCTCTACCCTTTTGCTGCCTCCTACTGCCTGCAGAAATGTGTCCACTCGCATAAGATGCTTTGAAAGCGGAGATTATTGTTACTGTCCACAGCATGTCATTATTTAGTACAATAAGACAGGGCTTGTTTGGATATGTGCGTCCTGTGCAAGTGTGTGTGTGTGCGTGCGCGTGCGAATGTGTATGTCAGTGTCAAATGACGTATGCGCTTGTGACGGCAATGTCCTTGTTTTTGCATAAGTATGTCCACTTCATTCACATTACAAATCAGACGCCTGCTGCCTCAGTCCGGCATAGCTTTATGTAACACACACACACACACACACACACACACACACACACACACACACACACACCATCTGGTTTACAAGGCAGAAGTGCAGAAGAGGGGGGGTGGAGGGGTGTCAAAGAACAGGTCATCAGTTGCTGGAATAAGCTTAAACAGTGAATAGAGACTGTGTGTGCCCTGGAGGAACATAGTGGGTTAAATTCTCTATATATATATATATATATATATATATATATATATTGTGTGTGTGCGTGTCTTTTTGCACATGTTTAATGCTTTAAATATGACACCTTGATGCTGACACGTGCATGGTTTCACCACTGTAGGAGGTTCGCGGATGGTACTACCTGCTTAAGGAAGAAGTGGGCGTGAGGAAGCATCTCAGAGTACCTGCGCAACAAAAGTCACATCACAGCGGTAAGAATTTTTCATATACTGCACTGTGCAAAAAAAAAATAAAAGTCTTCTAACACCATGAGCCCTTCGTAAGGAAAATATCTTTTTTTTTTTTTTTCACGGCACCGTATGCCACTTCAACGCAGCCATTACACTAATTTCCAAGTGTTATTTGGCTGGCTAGTGAAGTGCTGCTTCCTTGAGCCTCATATGCTTTGCAGTCTGCACTTTTTATGATACATGGCCCAATAGGTTGCTCTGCCCTGAGTCGTCCTAGTAACGCAAGCCATGCTTGTGGAGGGGTGGTGGCTGTGTGGGGTGGGAGCATTGGCTCCTTTGCATGAAAAATGACGACCGTCGCCATCAAAACAGGCTGAAAAGTGTACTGCCATTCTTGATGTTGTTGAAATCCTGTAACAGACACCTGGGAAGTGATTTAAATTGTAAACTAAATGGCGCTAGCTCGCTCGATATTTATTTGCTCTTCCCATGATGGAAATTAGATCAAGTATGTGTAATGTCTCCTTTTACGCTTATCCTGTCAATATGTTGTCATAAAAATTACTTTGTATGTTTGCTGAGTTTTTTTTTAATTGTCTTTTATCAAGGCTACATTCTAGGGATAAATATTTGCCAAGCACATGTCATACTGTACAAATACATCGTATGTGTGTGTGGGTGTGGGTGTGGGTGTGGGTGTGTGTTATCTTGTGGCTTCTTTGGACGGGAGGTGTTTAAGCAAGGGATTAAATGGGGAAGTAAGCGAGGGTTTGGGAGAGTGACGAGAGAGAGAGAGAGGGTGGGGAGGGAGGGATTTCTGGACCGAAGCCCGCCGCCGCGTCACACTCGTCAGAGAGCGACACGAAGCTTTACTCCTGTGCTGCTCTGCTCAGGCTGCTGATGTGGATCTCCCCTTCAGTCCAGACACCTTCATGTTGCGTGTTGCCCTATAAGTGTGTGTGCGTGTGTGTATGAGGCTCCACAGTGACGGCAGCCTACTCTAGGTGAGTACGACGTTTGTGTTACCTTCTTCAAACAACAGAAGTAAAGTTGCCAAGTCTTGTGAGATGCTGCCTCCTCCTCCTACTCCACATGCCTCCTCATCATCCACCATTGTGCATCTCTTATTCCTTTTAATCATCACGGGCTCACCGCCTCTTATTTAATTTTACTCCCAATTGTTTTCCCCATTTGAGACCCCCCGTCCAAAATCATCACCACCTTCTGTCCCTTTTTGAGAAGCTTAATTTACTTACGCCGCACGGCTGCTTGCACTCTTCGACATCCAAGAACTGTTTCAAACAACGATACAATACATTCAGTTAATTGTTGGGGTGCTACGAATATTTCAACTCCCATTTCGCTTAGCAAGCTAAACAAAAGAATTGGCAAGTGCAGTTGAAACTGCAACCATAATAATAAACATATTGATAAACAAGAATAATCAGATTACCCCCATGTATCATACAGTATATACCATAGAAGTCCCAATGCCTGGTGGCATCCAATGAACAACTTGGTGACAATCTCAATCATAAATGGGCCTTTATTGTGTTTGTAAAGACAGAATTGTAGTGCGCTTATATCCAGTACAAGCGCACCCATCACATGGTGCGGATGTATACCCAAAGAAGTGGCTTTTGCGTTTATAACATGATTTGCTCACTTTATGGCCTGACCTGGGTACCTTTTCTGTGTTTGATGGTGCTTGGCTGAACAAGGCTTACTGTACATCTCATGCAACTTTAAAATTAGTTTTCTCCCGGGTAAAAATGCGGGACGGGATGAGGCAGCAGCAGCAGCGGCGGCAAACCATAGCGAGGCCTGTTCAAGGTTTAGTTGAACTTCTACACCGCTAAGACATTGTCAATAATGCAGATAGGAGGAGAGCAGTAGAGGAAGTTGATTTCAGTCGAAAAACAAGCACATCTGGCTTTGGATTGCACTCATCTCATGCGGGGGTAATACTTGCCCCACTACTGTCTCATCAGATTCATATGCCAGTGTGCTGTCTCTCTCTCTCTCTCTCTCTCTCTCTCTCTCTCTCTCTCTCTCTCTCTCTCTCTCTCTCTCTCTCTCTCTGTAGTGAGAGTAGGGGGTGGGGTAGGGGTGGGGGGGTTGCATACTCATGCACTTGAATGTTGCCAGGCCAGCTGGCAGAATGTAGGCCATGGCTCTGCTGCACAATGACGTGCACGAACACGGAAATGATCAAAAGCCCATTTAGTACAATACAACTGTGTGCGCGTGCGTGCGTGCGTGCGCATGCCCACCCGGTCCATCTTTGGGCTCATGTTTCCAGATCGTCCTCAGTCTGTTGCGTTATTGTGACCATGTTTCTAAAAAAAAAAGAAAAGCAATCACTCCACCTTCATCATGTTTATTACGGCGACGATTTGCAGTCTTAACAGTTTATCAGCAGGAGGGCATTCCAGAATGCGATGGGGCCGGTTGCACAAACACAGTGTGTGCACTCACTGGACCACAAAATAAGCGCGTTATCGTGTAAAAGTGCCTGTAAGATAATGCTCAGTTTTTATGCAATATCAATTTACTTGTGTTACTGTAGTTGTGGTTTAAATACTAAATCAACAAATGGTAAAGTACAGAAAAAATATGCAAGGAAGTGATTAGCAGGCTCCCTCTCTGGTTTCACAAGGACGACTGGCGAGTGCAATTTTTGATTGTTGGGCGGGTGGAAAGTCTTGCATTTTGACTCAAAAAGACAAATGTCGTGAAATCATAATATAATAATCATAAAAATAATTATGGTGTACATTGCAAAATTGAAAATTTTCATCATGGGGCAGAGGAGGGTGTGTGTGTGTGTGTGTGTGTGTGTCACTCCATCCCTGCCAGTCAGCTTTCTATAGTTTGCCTCTTGGCATGCATGCTTGGCCTTCTCACTTGCTCACGAGCATGCATGTGTGTTTGAGTGCAGTCATGTTTTTTTTTTTCTTTCTTTTTTTTTTTTTTTTTTTTAACAAATATGCCACAAAGTGCAAGGTTTGTCTTTTCTCCTGCAGAATATCAACGAGAATTGAATTGAAATATCCCCTTTTCACTGCAAACACACAGACATCAAACAAAAACATTTTTTGGAGTGCTTTTGTCCCAGTCAACCTGTCATTTTTGTCCACACGCTCTTCCAGACGAGGACCGTTAATTACAACGTCGGAGTGCCATAAAAGCCCCGCCTCCTTAAATCCTACTGAGCTTGCGCCGAGAGGCGTAACCCTAAAAAAAAAAAAAAATAAATAAAACTGCAGCCAAACATTCCTGAAATGCAGAATTTTATTTATTTATTTGTGGCAGTAGAAGAATAAATCTTCAGGGAAATGCTGACTTTATAAAGGGCATCCATCTTATTGCCGAGTTTAACATATTCAAATCAAGCTTTAGTTCTGCGATGATGCTCGAAAGTAATGAAGCGCTTGTGTTCGTTCCACTGCAGCGACACGTATCAGTGGAGTGCTCCTTGTATTGTAAATAATAAATGGAGCAGGCGCTCCCTTGGAACACTTTATTTGCCGGTTTAGCGTGGGAACTTAGACTACTCATCCGTGCTTGCTGCTATGTGAGCAGATTTCCCCCCATGTCGTTTCAGATATTAAAAAATGTCTGCTTCACTTGTTAAAGTGAACAACTGCGAGCTTATATGTCTTAAGACCGTTGGACGAATGGAATGTCGGGCCGGGGAAAACAGCCTGATTGTTTATTGTTTGTTTGAGCCTATAGTTCTCTTAGTGGAGGTCTTTCTCTTTCATGCTTCAATTTTGGTCCTTTTTGAGTGGTTTGGACTTGGTTTTTTTTTTCCCTTTCCTTTTTTTCCTCCTGGAACTCATCAGTTACGTTCCATGTTTTTATGACCATTGTTTGTCTTTCTTGTTTATTGTATCCCACGAGCATCTATCTGATCCACAGTTCTTTGTGTTTTATTTTTTTGTTTTATTTGCAACACATTGTCTCTGTCCAACAAAAAAAGCAAAAGTGTTTGATGTTTTTTTTCTGCATATCCATTCCATATGATTAATTTAAAAAAAAAAAAAAAGATTTACGTGCTTTTTGTTGGACGGTGACCATATTCACCTTTTATGTTTTTGTAATAGTACGTTGCAATATCAAAGTGAAGCAAAATCATACATTCCTCTGGATTTTGGACAAATTTATGGCAATTATTATTATTATTTTTATTTTTTTATTAGAGTTGACGAAACAAACAGCACGTGGTTAGCATGTCTACTCCAAAGCTCTGGTTCGTGTTTGCTTATTGTTTGAATTTTCTCCCCGTGCTTGCACTACTCCAGCTGCTTCCCACATTCCAAAAACATGAATTTTAGCTCCATGAGTTTGAATGCGATGTGAAAGCTTGTCCACAGTAGCTCGGCTTCACAATGTGGCCGTCATGTTGTCCTTGTTTTAGACAGCAAGCCACATGAGACTGAATCAAGGCCCCACTATATCATCAAGCCACACCGTTCCCAAGATTAATTCATATCCTGAAAAAAAAAATAAGCCTGGGCTATCCAGCAAACTTTATGAATCAACAGCACCATTTGCTGGTTGCTGCCAAGTAGTTCGGCATCCACATTTTGTCTCATCAGCACAAACAGCTATTTTCCACTTTTTTGTAGCTCTGTTGCCCTAACATTGGGACCATAAATGTCACTCATTTATATCTTAAAGTTTTTCCCAACCGAAATGAGGCCCAAAAAATACAAATTGTGTTTTTCTTCCACCGTCCTCTCGCATTCCTAGTTTGATTGCATTTCGCTATGTCATTTGATTGTCCATTCCACTCCCCTAATTTAACGATGATACTCTTCTCAGCCTCAGCCTGAGCGTGTTCATCCTTTTTTTTTTTTCCCTCCTCATTTCTTTTACGAAAACCCATCGCGACACGGTTGACATGATGCTCCCCGGCTGTCTCGGCACTGGAAGTGAAATGTGTCAAGCGTGGGCTGGCTGCACACGGCATGCCCGAGAGTCATGGCGCTCTTTTTTTATGGCGCTGTCATGTGATAAATCAGTCCAGATGCTTAGTGGGCATTCACATTGCAAAGCCACAAAATAGCCGACAGAGTTGAATACGAACTGTTAATTCAGGTTTGTGTCATGTTCGAGATGTGATTGGCTTTTTAGCCGCTTGTGTGTGGAGGACTCATGTTTGCTAGACTTTTGTATTCGAAAACTGTATGCATGTGTGTTTGTGTTTCGTGATGTGCCAGTCTCAAGTCTAGCCTTCAGTTTCTAATATATAAGAATGATGTTGTTTTTTTTAACCCCTCATCACCCTCCCCCCCACCCCCCAAGAATGGTAGCTCCAGAAAATTTAGGTAACGAAATGGATTGCCCGGGGTGAATGTGACCTGTGGATATGTCTGCTTCATGCACCACATGCACAGATCCGCTGCACTAAGTGACAAGTGTAAGTTGGTGTTAAAGTGCTGCCTCCACATGTTAAAATAGAATTGATGCTTTGTAGCTGCTCCCTTTTTCCTTCAGTTTGGGCTTTTAGTAGCAGCTTGCCTCATTGTAGACCACTAACGCATCCCTCAAGAGTCATGGTAACGTTGGCCCCAAAGTAGGGGGCAATGGGGGAGGCACTCATTGGCATGAGACTGGACCATCAACAGGACTCCAAAAAAAAAAAAAAAAATGTTGGGGCACATTATTGGTGCTGTAGAGCTACTGTTCCCCCTCTTTGAATCAAATCAAGTGAGTTGGTTTCCAAAACGACAGTCTCGCCGGCGCCTGTTGTTTTCACATCAGCGGTTTCATTCATTCATTTGTAATCATCTGATAATTGATGTCGAAACGGTGTCGTGCTTACAAGTCTCCACTTTCTCCACGAAGAGTTCGTTTGTTTGCGGTTGTCGGAAGGTGAAAAGCGGGAGCGAGTGTCAAGTGGATCAGTGGTCCTGACGAGAGTCGACTTGTTCGCGCTGGAACACTGCCAACATCTTGATTTCCTTTCTGTGTTTTTCGCTCGCTAATCTTCCCTTTTCCCCCTTTTCCGTCCCTCCCCGTGTATACTTTTCCCACTGGCCGCTGCCTCCGCCGTTTATTGTCGCGGCGACTCTCCCTCTTTTTTTGATGTCATTCACGCTTCCAGCTGCTTCCACGCACGCCATCGTGCCCGATGTCCTAAGCAGACAAAAGGCTTCGCTCCCGGGCCTGACGCCAGCCAGGTTGCCCCCGCTCTCTGTCCCTGTCGGACCCCTGAAGTTTTCCGATTCAGATGGAATCTTCTTTTTTTTTTTTCGCTGTTTAATCTTCGGCATTTCCATGGTGACCGCAGCCTGGAGACCGGACCATGTACTGTGGGGTTTGCCCAAAACGTGTCAGAAAGTGATGTGTGTAATTTTCTTTTGTGAGTGTACACGGCATTTGGCACCAGTTGAACTGTTCGAGTCCAATCTGACTTTGCATTTCTAGCTTGACATTTTCGCACCTTTTTTTGACTGTATTTTTTTCCCCCCTTATGCCACTAATAATAGGAACCATTCCTGTCCATTAAAAAGAGCCCTTTGTTTAATGCAGGGCGGTTGCACACCACTGCTGTGCTGACTGTTGTCCCTTGTGCTGGGTCCATCAGACATGAACTGTAAATCACAATATACCATTTTTCAAAGTTTTCGGAAAACAAGAAAATACACACAAAAAATTCCATGAACAAGAAGAGTTGAGTTTCTTCTATTCAACCTTTTGCGGAAGTTCTTCCATCCATCCATTTTCTGATCCGCTTTTCCTCACAAGGGTCGCGGGGCGTGCCGGACCCTATCCCAGCTGTCTTCGGGCAGTCGGCAGGGGACACCCTGAACTGGTTGCTAGCTAATCGGAGGGCACATATCGACAAACAAGCATTTGCGCTCACACTCACACCTAGGGACGATTGAGAGTGTTCAATCAGCCTGCCGTGCATGTTTTTTGGAATGTGGGAGGAAACAGGAGTACCCGGAGAAAACCCACACAGGCACGGGGAGAACATGCAAACTCCACACAGGAAGGCCTGGAATCGAACCCAAGACCTCTGCACTGTGAGGCCGGCGTGCGAACCAGTGCCGCCTGCAGTACACATTTACAGTTATGCCACAAAAGCAATAAAATTGAAAAAAAAAATCTATGTTCGCCTAATCAGATGTTAGGTGAGGACGTGCAATCCCATCTCCCAGTCAGTTGATGGAGACGTGACAGGAAAGGGCGTGGCGTTCTCGGAACGATGCTTTGACTGCATTTGCCTTTTCTTCGGGAAGTCAACTCGGAACTTTGTGGGAAGAGGCGGATAAAGTGATGAGACGAGCTGTAAGCGCACGGACGGAATAGGCAGCCAGGCGAAAATCCACATTGTGGCCCGTGCGCTGAATGCAGCCCTTTATGAGCTTTAGTTAAAAGGGACACATGAGGCGGGAGTCTCCTGTAACCATGGAAACCTTCCCAGGAGCCCTGTGACGGACGGATAATAGAGTGAGAGAGGAGTTCCTTTTCTCTTCTTTCGCCCTCCCTCCTCTTCCCTCCCTCTCACTTGTTCTCCCTTGCACTCGTCCTCTCTTGGGCACTTTTGTGGGGTCCTCACATCTTATGGGATTTTTATCAAACTCTGCCTTGGCTTTTTATTTATTTATTTTGTCTTCAAGTCTGCACTGAGAAGTTTAAATCCCAGTCCGGTTGGGCAGCGCTTGCCTCAATTACCCACCCCTTATCTTAGACACTTTTTTTTTTTGTTTTATGGACTCTCGAAACTATTTTGGGACTTTTGCATCCAGAAGGTGGTTTTGTGGCAGCCAAAATGTGCTCCAAAGGCACTGTGTCAGCCCGTGATTCCTTTGTCTACATTTCAGAGGCCGTGCTCTCGAACCATGGTGCTGCCCCTGAGACACAGCGACCTGAGAATATGCAATGCTTAACGGTGAGTAGCGCACACTTTTTTCCATCATTTTTGCTTTTTTTGTTGTGGTTTTTTTTTTTTTTGTTTGTTTGTTTCTCGCCCTGGTTTTTGGCACGTGCGTATGGTCGCGGCTGCTGAGACGGCTGACCCCGACGCGGCTCGATGTTCTACAAACTCATCGTGCATAAACACGCCCTCACTAAAGTTATCGGCTGCGTGAGTTCCGTGTCTCACATTCCCAGCTACCATGGCAACTCATCGAATTTGATCTTTGAGGCTTGAGTGGCGAATGGGGCAAAAAGAACACGAAAAAAAAAAAAAATCCCCATGCATGACTGAAGATGTACTATATGTCAAGATGCTCTTTGCACGCGACTCACATGCAAAGCGAAATGATAGCTTGTCATGAGAGAGGCTAAGTTGTTTGCGTGACAACGCAGTTGTAAAAGTGGGAGTCCTTTTCTTTTGGATTAAAAAAAAAAAGTTGCAGACAACAATTTTGGCTGTGAAGGCCACGTCTTGGCATTTCTTGTTCCTGCGCAGCTTGCAATTGACTACCGGTAATTCGTTGTCATGTGGCACAAGACGGTACGCTCAGCTGTTTTGCATTTGCTTGTTTAATATGGCCTACAAGTCTTTTTCAGATGCAGATTTTGACAAAAATTCTGACTTTGACTCCTTTGTTTTCGTTGGTTGGTGATTTCTGTGTTCCCACTGTCGAAATTTCACTTTACGTCACAGCCGTAGAATCGCAACTCTGTCGTAAACTGAGGGGAGTTGTTTTGTTTTTATCCAACTCCAACCAATTGTGGAAGTTCGACGGAACATGGAGTTATGTGGAAGGTTTGTTGCGTATCGCAGCCAGGAGCGTAGTGATTTTTTAAATATGATTCATTCAACTCTGGCAGGAACTGGCTTCTTTTGCGTTGCGCCATATTTGCGAGGAGAGGCCGCCGGCTTCCTGTCTTCTCCCAGCCTCCCTCATTTGCCCTCTTATATCTCGTCGTGGATCAGGGCAACAGATGATTGCGGCGATTGTGCCGGGACGGTCTTATGGGAGAGTGGAGGGAGGGACAAAGTGCACTCACGGTCAAATTAGAGGGGCAATGGAAAACCGTTCAATACTTTTGCAGTTTTTTCTTTTTTTTCTGTTACCTTGTCCTTGGTCCTCCTTTTTACGGCTCATCCTTGTGCACGGCAACCTCCCGCACATTCTGCTTTTATGTCGGTGATGCATGAGTTTCTCAGGGATTTACTAAACGCTTTGGGCACTCGAGATGTTGGTGTCGGTAGCACTTGATGTGCTGTATAAAATCGCAAGGTTATTCGATGAATATGACAACTGTAGTCGGCGATCTGGTTCTGTCTTGTGTTTATGTACATTGAATCGATTTAGATAGAAAAGGAAAAAAAAATGGTGTTGTTGTGTGCTATCGGCGGTGACGTAAATGGGAGAGGAGATTGGCCGTTGAAAAACGAATGACGAATGTTTTCGCATTTGAGTACTGGCCACAGCATGTTGTCATCAAAGACGACCGTTGGGATGTGTGACGTGTGTATGTCCGGAGTGCACATGCATGAAAGCTCCATATGCGCTACATACAGCAGACGCCCGGAAGTAGTTGCGCTTGTATGGGAATGTTTTGCTCGCTCATGGGCATGAAATTCAACTGCCATGTTGGTTTGAACGCATGCGAGGTTGCCTCCTCCTTTGATAGCTACATTTTTTTTTTTTTTTTTAACATCCGGGGAGAGCGTGAACCCACACCACTAAAGACCAGATTGGCCTCATCTGGCCAACAGACAAGCATTTCAATCTCCTTTCCCCGAGACATGCTTTTCTTCTCGCCCTCTAATCCGTCCTTCTGCCCATTTAGAGGTGAACAGCGCCGCGTGAAAGCGAGACAAAAGTGTTTTTTGTGTGCTTGACGTGGTAACCCGAGCCCCTTTTCAACAAAGCAAACAGGGAAAAGCGGCCATTACCGCCGCGATGAGGAGATCTGAGAGAAACGGGCCCTCTGCAGCCTCTTTATTAAAGCTTTACAAACTTGGGCAATGCTCTCCCTTTTTCGATTCCTTCTCTGTCAGTGTTTCATTCCGTAGCACGGCCAATGCCAGTGAAAGACGTGAAAAGATACAAACCGTTAATTGATGGGATTTGTGCCCGATGGCGCTGGTTGCTGTCTTGGGTGTGCGAAAATTGGACGAGGGGGACATTTACAGCGACATCAACTTTTTGTATAGAAGCCTGATCCACGGGTCAAAGAAGAACCTGTCACGCAAATGTTGTCGGATTACGAAATGTGTTTTCACTTTGCAGTCTGAATGATAGTCCAACTCGCTCCACTTCAAAATGGCGGCCTTTGTTTAGTCGTGTCGTCTTTTATGAACAAGGAAGTCGCCTGCTAACTTAAAACCTCAGAGAAATGCAGATTTTAATGAACATAAATATATACACAAACAGTTATATGTTGAATTAAAATGTGACGAAAAATAATTGGAGTCGCACCGATTCGCGCACAGCCCTACAAACTAGAAATGTGTTTTGGGTCTCGGTGGCGGTCCTTTCTCCACTAACTGCCAAATTTTCTTGTTCATGTTTTTTTTTCTATGTTGTCCGCTGAGCACCACTTTCCCATGGGCGGCGATGTTAAAAAACAAAAATACAAGTGCTGTTTGGATAACTGGCAGAGGAGGAGCGATTGTCAGGGATTCGCAGAGCTGTGAATTTCCGCCCAATGTGGTCGGCAGGGGAGGGGGTGGGGGCTTGAAAGGAAAAGCGGAGGAAATATGGAAGGTGAAAAAATAACAAACAAGTCTGGATAGAGGTCGAGGGAAGTGTGTACTCACTTGCGTCACAGTCTTTTGACGAGCCGTGTTGCTCACTTGCATTTTTTGGCTGCGTATTAAAAAAAAAAAAAAAAAAAAAGGCATCGGATCTCATTCACACACTCAATGCGCTGACCCTCATTACAACTGTGTTTGCGTATCTGTCAAAGTGATCTGCGGCACCTGTGAGAAGCTCATAGTGTGGACAAAGGAAGCAAACGGGCCTTATCGCGGGCAGACACCCAAATCTATGCGGGCCGTGGAGGTTGGCGAGGTATGCGTGGGTCCATGCGTGCGTACATGTGTGTGTGTGTGTGTGTGTGTGTGTGTGTGTGTGTGTGTGTGTGTGTGTGTGTGTTAATGGGGGGTTCGGTGCTGCTGCTGGTGGTGGGAGGAACTTCCTCCTATTCTTTTGCTGTTGAAGAGTTCCCATGAGCGCCCCCGGCCAGGAGCGACACTGTGGCCTGAGCACCAGTCTCGCCTCCGCGTCGCCGGCGGTCCACGCAAGCGGCGCTCAGGAGGCCACACGGGGCACCGATCTGGATGAAGACGAGACCGAAGCAGCTCGCAACCTTGATGACATCACTCCCGCCAATCATAAATGGAACATAGCTTCGCACGCGGAGCGACAAACTTGCCGGGAATCTGACATTTCCTTCAAAGAAAGAATTCAAAGCGAGTCGAGGCCGAGATGATCCACAACACGCTCAAGTCCCCCCAGGAGGAGGAGGAGGAGGAGGCGCCAAGTCCCGCCCGCACGCACTCGGCTGCGCAGAGGCGGTTGTGGAGGTACTCGGGCTGCAAGGGCGCCGGGCGGCCGGAGAGTCAGCGCCGAAGCGTGTGCGTGCTCTCGGCCGACTTAAACGGGACGGCGGGAGGAAGAGGAGGAGGCGTGATGCACACCATTCACGGGCTGTGCCACCTCTGCATCGGATGTAGGCTGCCACAGGTGTGTGTTAGGAGAAGTTAAAACAGAGCGCCTCGGGGTACAGAGATGAGTATCAAAAAAGCCAACCTTCTAGCAGTGTGAATATGAATGTGCGGGAGCATGGCAGACCAGCGGTTATCACGTCTGGGTCACAGTTCTGGGGTTCAAATCTCCGCTCCAGGTTTTCCGTGTCGAACTTCCCCCTGTTTACGGTGGTTTTCTGCAAGTGCACCCTTTCCAAAATGTCATTTGGATTCGTTCCAAGCTACCTGCCTTAAAGGGGCACGCAAACAAGTGAGCAAGGAGGATAAGTATCTCTCCAACAGCACACGTTCACATTTTATCGACAGCGGGACTTTAATTGTTGCTCTCTGGTTCCAAAGACCAAGTCCTTACAGATAAACTCCGATCGGCCCATAGTGAAGATACGCAGTGTCATGAATGGATGGATGGATTATTATTGTGGCTTGCAGTGATTTATCGCCACACTGTCTTGCACAGTTTCCAATATTTTAGTGAATTTGAGCGTTGTTTTTCCTCCTCAGAGTCATCGGAGCCCGATACTCGATGATCATGAAGTTGACGTGTGGCAACGTTGTAAAACCGGGTACGCTGAAAAGAGTTTCGACTGTAATCAGATCTAATAGTCCTCCGATAGTCTCCATAATGTCTCTTATTTGGCCCCCCCAAAAAAACCTCACATGACTAAAATACAGAACGACATTAGTTCTACTTGTGACCGTGTGTGTGTGTGTGTGTGTGTGTGTGTGTGTGTGTGTGTGTGTGTGTGTGCATGCGTGAAGCCCCAGCCACTGAACATACTGACCCAGATTACACTGTCGCAGCAAGAGGAAAGGGAAAATGACGAGTTGGCCAGGAGATATGCTTGTGCGTGTGTTTTGTGACCTACAACCCACATCATGCATTCACTCGCCAACGACATGCGCATAAAGCCGTCACACTTAAGACAACGCGGTATGTTGCAATTAGCGGCTCTTCTCCGCGCGGTCGGCTCAATGAGAGCCGGGGCGCTGAGGCGTGAATCCTTTAAAGGGGAACGCTCCGGAGCTCATGCTTCAACGCATACCGAAACCCACATGGGCCTGTCTATGTCGTGTACAAGATGAGTTACAACCCCGTGGTTTGCATCCATTCGTATCCTCTACGTCCATTTTGCCGAAATATGAATCCCGCAGCTCTCTTTCATTTGAAATGAACACTGAGAGAATCGTTTATTTTGTACGATTATTGTCAGCTTGCAATCCGATTTTAGGAGTGCGCTGCAGTATTTGCCTGAATATACCAGTTGGTGGATTGCACTCTGAGATACAATACAAAAAAATAGGAAATCATTTCAGAATAAAGCGCATTGATCATCTTTTTTCGTTGTCTAATTTGCTCGTTGAGTTCTGCTGTTCTAAAGTACTACTGACCCGCTTTTATCCCGACTCTCATTATTATTTCTTAATGTCTACTGATGTCATTTTCATCTCCGGGTCTTTTTTTAAATTTTTTTTAAATCATATCGGCGCTCACGGAGTATAACGGTACGATATCTTGTTTGCGACGCTTCCCAGCAACCCGCTTCCGTCAGTCAGGTAGGGGTTATTCGTCATCCCCGCGTCACGATAATTTGGCCTTTTACTCACTCTTCCCTGTCTCGTCTTTCTCATGAATTTGCAATCCTGTCTGACGTTTTCGGGTCATTGCAAGTTTCGAGGCTCCTGAATAGTTGCAGTATGCCACTGAATATTTCCGTCAGGACTAAATGTGTCGTTTCGATTTTTTTTCTACTAACCTACCCTTCGAAATAATGATTTCATTTACCCTTGCAGTGACTGATAATAGGATTGCGGGAAAAGAAAAGATATCTGATTGTGGTTGAACGTGGTGGAAAGATTTGGAATTGGACTTAGAATAACTTTTTTTTTTTTTTCCCGAGGGTCAAATTTGTACACTACAGCAAAAAAAACTAAAAAATCTTTCTATGGAATTCAGTGGGCTCTCTGGACATTTCCTTCCTTCTCTTCACCCGAGGGTAAATCTGTCACACTACCTCTAGTCAGTTTCAACAACACATTGGTGGACAAGAAAAGAAGCCGCCCGAAGCCTCAGTGCGCGGCATGCGATCAGCAGATAAATCACACGTTTTGACAATCCGAAGAGAAGACGCAGCAGCCTCGGATGGCAAACGACTCTCGCTATCTCTGGTCCTTTTGCATTCCAAGTGTTGACTTTAAGGGAGGTTTGTGCGTTTGGAAATCTCGTTCCTCCTGAGCAATCGTTTAAAAAGAGTTGTTGCAGTTGTTGGTTTACATGACGCTTGGAAGGTTATTTCATTGCGATGTGTCCATTGGCGTCGCATTCCTTGGGAAATGCCTGATTGTGAAAGGTGTCACGCTATAAATGACACGATACCCTCGGGGAGGGCGTGTCTCTTGACAGCAGCATCACCAACGACTGGCCTGGTATTCGTATTGCGGCGTTCTCAAGCACATTTCCAGGTTGACGGATTTCCTTTTGAATCACCACTGATTTCAAAATGGGACGTGCGGTGATGAGATGGATTTGTAGCCCGTCTGAAATGATGAAATAGAACGGAAAGGATGCTCATGCTAAAATTGTACAGATTCTGCATCATCATTTTCCGTCTTTAAATTTGCAGATATCTGTTTTTTTTGTTTTTTTTTAAATTTTTTTGGTTTTTTTGAGGGCTACACATTTGTCGTATAAATGGGAGCTGGGTTACCTGGGAACGCCTTCCCCAGCCGAGCCATTCTTCCGCCGGTCATGAACAAAGAAAGTCCGTCTCCAGTCTCTGGGAGTTTGTTGTTCTCACCAGCTCAGCTAATTGGCTTCCTCAGGAAAACTGCCATCAAGACAGTTCGCATAGGAAGCGGACTCTGAAAACAAATCTGCTTAATCACTCCTGTTGGACGGGGAGTCGATTGGCCCGCCAGCGCGCTACCTCCACATCCGCCGGTTGGTTGTTGCGTGAAAATAAAGCCGGCCACTGTCGACATAATGAGCTGTTTGTGTCTCTGTGTTCCAGGTGACCATCCTTCGAGGAAAGGATGGATACGGATTCACCATCTGCTCAGATTCGCCTGTGAGGGTGCAGGCTGTTGATCCAGGCAAGAATCTATTTTCAGAAGCACCCAAACCAATCTAACGCCATAATCGTTCAGCAAGAAATTGAGCTTACTTCAACACCATTATACACCCAACCGATGCCACGCCCTCGAGTGTCCAATCCACAGATGCGTGTTGGTTGTCAGAAACTGGCACGATGAAAATGCGTCGCTTGAGTCGTTTGACTACTTTGTCAAAATGCGCCGAACTGGACTGATGGTGAAAACTGGTGCAAATGTAGCTTGTATAATCACACCTTCACGTTCATTATTTTCACCCATAACCAATTAGCTTCACTGTCTACCTCTGCTGCATTTAAACAGCCCCCTTTTCACCATATCGCTCCAGTTTTCCAATCATCGATCCACTTTTGATGCCTCATGAATAATTCTTCCCATCATAAAAAGCTTGTGGGCCTTCTGTTTTTCATCTCTCCGCTTTGAGGATTACCGCGAGGATCAAGCAAAGCAGCGGGGTGTCGCCGTTAATAGGGGGAGCCCACATCAGTTTTCCCCTTGAATCAAATAAACAAGCTCGAAAAAAAAAAAAAAAAGCACATGCGCTCGAACCGTAGCGTGAGTGACGCGTCTTTGTTGTGTTCTCTGCGGCAGGAGGCCCCGCGGACCAGGCGGGTCTCCAGCAGCTGGATACTCTCCTGCAGCTCAACGGTCAGCCCGTGGAGCAGTGGAAATGTGCCGATTTGGCTCATGCCATCAGGTAAGATCACCCACCATCTTGTTTGTTTTGAATCGCATCCCAAATCCTTACGGTTTTTGCTCTGACAACGAATCAAGACCATCTTCCAAATGAATGGGGTTGCTTCTAAAGTGATGATCTTGTGCTGTGACCGCAGAAACAGCGCAAATGAGATCACGGTTGTGGTGTGGCGCAGCGGCCCCTCGGCCAAGCCCAACTTCGATGGTCTCATCCACCGACCGTCCTACGTGCAGTCCACCTCCAACTACGAGACGCCCTCGCCGCCCGCCCGCCGGCACGCCCCGGACTCGGGCGCCGGTCGAACCCC